CTAGCGGCTGCCGCCGCCAACACCACCCAGGCCGGGCCCGACGCCAGACTCCAGTGACGGCGACAGTGAGGGGGGAAAGGGGGAGGGCTCAAACAACACATAAAGGAAAATAAATTAATCGATGGCATGGCTCGGGAAATGATAATGTCAAAAGGAGCCCGAGCGACTTAGGGGGCATAGGGAGCTTGACCAACTCCGGCCAGTTCCAATGCATGATCGGACAGCCGATTAGGGCATCTCCAGTGCCAGCCCGTAAATTTCCTCCCGTATCCATCTGCAGATAGGGGGTATCAGTCTGTGGACACGGATGCGAGAGGCCACCATCCAACTCTATTCGCCTACATTTCAAACATCATCCGAGCTAACCGGCCGATATTCATCAAAGTTCGAATAGAAAATAGCACAAATCATCTATACATAGAATGCAAATTTAGTCTAGTACAACAAAGTCCCGAATTCGACTAGATTAACCAGATGTCCAACAAGTCTTTCTTCAACGGATCATATCGTGCCACACATACTCTCCCTTCAGCTTAATCCAATAGTGTGTGTATGTAAATGGCCGCCCCTCCATCCTGTGGTATACCACGGTAGCGCGTATGGGCTACACAATGCGTAGAGCAACATTGAGTGGATGAATGATTCAATAACAAGTTGAGCAAGAAGAAATAAAACTTAAGATCGCCCGCTCTGCCTCATGCAATGGCCACCTTGCCTCCAGCTGAGTAACCACATGAAAAAACTTGGTGACGATGGCCTGGATGGTGTCCCAGTGATACGTTAACAGCCACACATTGCGTTCTAGAATGATGTGGGTGTCGTAGGGTGTAATGTGCTTGCTGCGTGAAATGATTCATGCACTTGCTGCCAGAAGGTTCTCCCTCAGCTGCCTATGAAATCCGCGGATATGGCCAATCATGCATCACACAATAGCTTGTCCTTCATGGTCGACTACGCCGCCATCCTTTTTTATTGTAAAAAATGACATAGCTTTCGAAAATAAGCTCAATGGTATTTGACCGAACACCTGTCGAGCGTGGTGTCCGCCATAGTGGTCGTTGGCAGGGGGCGAGTGTACCTGGGTAAAAACGGCTCCAGTATGGATAGCGCCAGGCGAGCGGGCGCGTCGGTGCTGATTGTGGACGTCCGACAATACCTCTGTGGCGGGCGGAGACGCACAACCGCGGCGGCATAGGTGGCCAGTATGGATGCAAAGCAAGGAGAGAAGGGGCGGTAGGTGGGGCGGG